TTGTTGTTAGCACACTTAAAAAATGAAAATTCTTAAACTGACAAACATTAAAGTAATTCAGAATCAATACCTATAGCACAGTTTTAACAAAAACTGAACATTGTTACCTTCATGGAAGCAGCATTTATTGCAGGGGGGTAAAACACTGCTTTAGTTTTAGCCTGGCAACGGCATGTATTATGCCTGTTTTGTGTCATTGCACTATTTTAGTTATACTGGTGGTAAATGTGAGCATTGGGCTGATGCTGTGTGTGTGTGTGTGTGTGCGTGCAGGAATGGTTTGCTGTGTATGTGGAACTGAACCAGCAGATCGCTGCCTTGCTCAGCGCCGGGGAGGAGGAGGAAGTGGCGGAGCTGAAGTCACTGCAGCAGCAGCTGAGTGATGTCTGTTACCGACAGGCAGCTCAGCTAGAGAGCCGCCAGAATGTCCTGCAGGCAGCGCAGGGCTTCCACAGCACCACACAGGAGGTAACGCTCACACATGTGTTTGTCTGTCTCTGTGACATGATGCATTCCTTACCCCTAGCCCATTACAACTAAGTGTTTAAACTTAAAACTCGTTACCAACAAACAGTGCTTTGAGGTAGCACGAACCAGCCAAAATGTTCCCAGTGCAGGATTGTCCTCATTGCAGTGGTTTAAAACTGAAATTGGTCCTCACAAGAATAGCAATACAAGTCTGTGAAAAAGAGCACAGGAGCTGTTTTCAGGTTCAGCCTGTCTTAGCACAGACTTTAGGCAAGAAAATGAACATGCATGTGATGTTTTCTGAACAGTCAGAGCTCTGTGTCTGTCTCTGCAGTTGTCCCAGCAGTTAGACAGCTTACTGGGCATGCTCTGTGCTGATGTGGCTCCAGCTGACGGAGCTGCCATTCAACAAAACCTGAAGCTGCTGGAGGAGAAGCTGCAGACTGTCGGTTTGTGCTCTGAATGATCAAACCTATAAATTTGTGTGATACTTGTAACTTTTTTTGTGATATGCATTAAGACTGTACACTTGCATCTTTTATACCTGTGTCAGAGCAGTGACGCACTTGTTAACTAATGGGTGTAATAAATTTCCTTTGTGATATTAACCTTCTCCCCTCCGTGCAGAGGCAGGTCTTGCTTCTCTGCGTCAGAAAGGGGCGTTGCTGCTGGAGCAGATGTGCAGCCAGCCACCGTGGTCTCTGGAAGAAGCGGAGAGCCCAGCTGGCGAGCAGCAGGACAACATTCAGCAAATCCAGGCTGTGATGGAGGAGATGCAGCTCCGCAAGCAGAGGTAACTTTCTTCTTCTTCTTATTTTTTCATTTTTCACAGAAGGCTCACAACTGCAACAGTGCCTTTGTTTTAATGTGTTGCTCCCTGCAGAGCCTGAATCACTACTTATGAAGCCACTTTTCCAAAACTGTAAAACACTGTAAAAACTAGTACAGACATTTTTCTTCCAAACTCTGCTGCTTATGTAACAAATGAGGACTCACTACTCACTAATGTATGTGAGTCCCTCTCTCTCTGCTGTCACCCTTCTAAATTTAGCAGTCAAATGCTCTCTAAATATCTATTAATCTGATGAATGAGAACCAAACGAAAGTCTATATCTACACAGTAGGGTACAGTTATCTTGGGTTCACAAGGAGCTTGGTGATGGTACTCTACACAGAGTGAGGAGAAGAAACCTCCATCCCCAATAAGACACACACTCACGTACTTATAACAAAATGAAATGTATTTCAGGAAAAAACTTAACCGGTATCATTCGACAACAAGACCCTTACACTTCCCAAACAGACCTGGGCCTGAACAAGATAAGAACAATATTCCAAAAACAGATTGTCCCAGTAAGATGCAGTTCAGTCACTTCTTTTCTGTTTGACCCGTCAGTTGTATGGTATCAAGTTCGACCCCAAAAAAATTAATTCCAAAGTAACAAATAAAATATTGAGATCTCAATAGAAAAAAAACGTAAATCCTCTGTAATCCTACCACCCTCCTGGAAACAGGTGGTCGTCCATATCTTTCACCTGTTCCTTACAGTACAGTAATTTAACTTAATGAACCACTCAGCTCTCCCTCACACAACTAGTACAAATAATGTCTATATGTGAAGTACATACTGTTCTATTACATATTATCTCTGGAATCTTGTTTATTGTTAACCACTACATGGTCAAAAAGGTGCATGTTCACCACTGTTTTAGTTGTTAAGGTCGAACAAGTCACATGTTGCAAAACTGACAAGTTCCACAACAGGCTCATATATTTATACACACAATACAAAATACAAATCTGTTTACAAGAACTATATTATATATAATACATATATAAAGTGGAATTTTGTGAACCTTCAGTTTGATCATAGTTTTACAAAGTAATTTGAAGCACTTTTGTTAAATAACTTTAGTCGACCAAACTCCATTTCTCTCTAGAGGAGCTTTGCTGTAGTTTAACTTCTTCCAGTGTGAAATAACTGATAGTGACTCCCAGCTGCTCTGTGGTCTCACTCTTAGTTTCATTGGACTATAACAAGTCGAACCTGCAGGTGTTTGTGTGTGAAATCAAATCCTGGTGTGATGAATCATCACCTTAACATAACCTTTGGTGCTCAGGAACAACACCTCAATCAGTATTTTGGAGCTCAAAAAAACAGCGTTTCTTAAAGATGCTTCTTCATCCAAGCCCAGAAAGTACAGAAGAAAGTTTTTCTTCCTTTTTTTTAATCTTCCACCGGAAATCAAAGGATGCCATCTACACCATGGTGCATTCACGGGGCATGGGAAAACAATACTTGGCAACCAACGTTAAGCCCACTGGAAAGAACTAATAAAACAGGAAAGGAAAATATATAGATATATATACCACCAAAATAACCTAGGTTACAGTTGGCACACAGTTAGCATGCTAATGATGGTCTGGTCACTCAGAGTAAAATGACCAGACTACAGCCACTGGTCAGATTTCAATCAACTGACTTGGTCCCTTTCCTGCTCCACAGAGGCTGAGCTGCTTTAATAAGGGATGGGCAATGATTTTTGGAAATTCGAATAGTTATTATAATTTAAAAAACCGAATATTTCATGTGACTATAGTTTTGTTTTAAAAACAAAGACCTGCTGTTTTCCCCTTGCCCTCACGGTCCCATCAAGAAAAATGGTCACTTACAGCTGAATCATATGTGATGGTCACTTGCCATTATATAAGAAACTGGTAAATACAGAGTCCTGTTCTTAAGACGGCAGCGATGGCAGAGTGGCATACTGCTGAAAATGTGGCAAATGTGCTTTTTACTGCTGTGGAACACTGGGGACTACAGGTAAAGTCACAGCATGCATACATGACAACATTAGCAACATGGGGCTAGCCAACATGGAGCAGGACTCTCAGCAATGCAATGACCACAGCAGCCTCTTGGGGGCAGCAGCAGCAGCAGCAGCAGCAGCACTGAGGTAGTCTCCCAGAAAAGAATGCCAGGCAAGTCTATGTAGGGACCCGGTAAGTGATGAACATAAGGATGGTGTTTGTGTGTTTTGCAGGTGTGAGGACATGGTGGATGTGAGGAGGCTGAAGATGCTACAGATGGTCCAACTCTTCAAATGTGAGGAAGATGCATTACAGGTAGGACACACAACACACACACACCTACACCTACAGATGCATCTCCTGTACTAATGAGATGAGCTCTGTGTGTGGGTGTGTTCAGGCAGTAGAGTGGCTTGGCGAGCTGTTGGACGCCCTGCTAAAGACCCACATCAGACAGGGCGATGATTCCCAAGAGACCAGGACCATTTTGGACAAACACAGGAAGTTTGTGGATGTCGCTCAGGTAAAACACCGCAGGATTTCGCTTTGTCATTTGATCCATTGATAATGTAAAACTACTGATGAAATATTGATCAGAGAAGCTTTAGTTGTTCATGTCTTAAACAACAGTGTCACTGTTAGAACTTTCTGCAGCATATTATAGTGATACCTCACCTGGATAAAGCGTGTTCCCCTTATAAATTACTACATCTTTATGAAAAATCAACCTCTGGGGAGAGAAGCAGAGGTGCAATATCACAGTAAAGCAATAGTTAGTAATGTAATTTTGACCGTGTCATTCATAACATAACAGTGAACTGACTATATGCATAGGGGGCTCTGATTCAGCACAAATGGTAACAAAGCATTAATTCAGCCTTCACTGTGCCTCCTGAATGAGATCCACTGTTTACAGACATACTTTAAGCTAAATGCTAACACCAGTATGCTAACATGACACAGTGCTTATTTATGTTATTGGGTTTGCTGGTCATAAACCAAAGTATTTCAATAAATTAAAGTTTTGACCTGATGATGGCACTAGATGTAAAATTAAGGGTTGAACCTCTAGACCAAGTCTGTGGTGCAAACCACACAGTCATCGCAGCCAGTGTGATCATCCTCTGGAGACCCAGGAGATTCCTTCTGTGTAAATAATTTGATGGCAGTCCAACTAATAGTTGTTGAGGTATCTAAGTCGGTACTGACTGACCAGTACACATTGTTGTTCCTAGAGCCCTGCAGCTGTCAACATGCAGCTTTAATTCTGAAACCAAACAGTAACAGACAGTAACTCGCCCTGTCTTCCTTCCTGTCTCTTCCTTCAGAGCACGTATGATTATGGCCGTCAGCTGTTGCAGGCGACTGTCGTCCTTTGCCAGTCCCTGCGATGTACCACACGTTCATCTGGAGACACTCTGCCTAGACTCAACCGAGTCTGGAAACAGTTCAGCGTCAGCGCTGAGGAGAGACAGCAGAGACTGGAGCTGGCTCTGAACTTTCACACCGTGGCTGAGAGGGTGAGTTTGACTGAGAGAAAGACCTCACTGTGTTTATTTGTTGGGTGTTGTACAGCAGCAGTGTGCGGACCAGAGCTCAACCCAAATATCAGCAAGCCAATATTAACTGCTGACAGTGGATAGAAGTTAAACATTGCACCCTGCTGACATCAAGTGCATGTGACGGGTTATTTCTAGTGTCTGTGTAGTTGGGTTGTGGAAGCTGCTGCTTAAATCTATACAATATGAATCCTCACACAGTGTTGCAGCAATTTAGATGTGGAAAGTATAAATTTACTGTTACTGTTTCAGGTGTTACAACAGGAGTGCGTGGAGGTGGAGTCTCTGGATGAAGTTGACTCTTCAGGGAAAACTCTGCTGGACAGACTTACCATGCCTGTTATCTTCCCTGATGGGTACACATACATGCACACACCTGTTTTTTGTCAGTTTATTGGCATACATTATTTCCTGAGACACCTATCCTCATCTAACTATAACCAATCGTATCCTTAAATCTGCATTAACTGTATCTTTTTGGCCATCTGGGGGCAGCAGGAACAAATAGTGGTAACAACACTGACATATTAGCACCCTTTTAAGTCGATACACTGAACTTGATAGCAAACGGTTGCCTAGTTACACATCTTACAGTTACAGAACCACATTGTCATTCAGTTGGAGTTGGAATCTTCACAGAGACTTGGTACAGAGTACAGCTGTAGTTCTTTGTGGGATCATCACCATGTGCAACCCCTTTCACATCTGATCCACTGTCAAAATATCCATTATACAAACCCTAGTTTTTATGGTTTTTATGGTTTTAGGAGTGGTGACAACTTCGGGAGTCCCAGCGATACCGCAGCAGCAGCAGAGGGTGTCAGGGAGCGTCTCCTGCTGGTGGAGGAGCGGCGGCTGCAGCTGCAGGAGGCGAGGCTTCATAATAATAATGAGGAGGAGGTGCTAAATGGGCAGGAGGTGGGGCTAGATGTGATCGGAGAGGAGTTGAGTGAGAAAGAGGAGCAAGATGAAGAGGAAGACGAGGATGTGGGGCAGCAGGATGAAGAGTCTGAGAGGGCTACACAGGATTGCTAATGGGTGGCATTAAACCAAGCAGCCTTAATGAAGCTTGTTAACAAAGGGCTGCTGATGAATCTCCAAAGACAGAGACCTCTGATTTGTTCTCCCCCAGGTATGACAGCTTTCCTTTGGCTGCCTGACTCTCACTGCAGCAGTAGGTAATCCTTACTGCTGGGCTTTCTCTACATTAAAACCACATTATCCATCAGCCTCACTGCTTAACTTCCCTGAGGATAATCATGTTGGAAGTGATTGCTCTGTCAGGCTTTCACTCCTTTCAGTAGAAACGGTGAAAGCCTTACCTGTGAAGAACAGCACCCTCTAACTGTTTTACTGCTGTTAGGTGATCCAGCAAATGTGCTTCCAAACAGGAACCCACAAATGTAAAATACTGGAGTTATTTAATGGAATAATTAATACTCATGTCTCTGGATGCTCTAACAACTGACGGTAAACTAACCTGTTTGGATAAGAATACTTCTAACGCACTCTTGTCGTAACACCACCTCCTCCTTCCCAGCATGCCAGTTGTTCACCTAAAAGGCAGTGGAGTGCCCATGGTGCTAACATCTGTCTGTGCCTTCCGACGTCTGTCCTTTCATGCTTCCTCTCCTCCTTTTATTTTCCTGCTCTAACAGAAGATGAACTCGGGGGCAGTACAGTAACTTGAGAGACAGAGCTGCAGTACATCGAGTGTGCAGCGACCTGCTTCTACATAGTCTTGTACATTTTTCCCGTAGGCATTTTCACGTGACTCTGGGCTTTTCAACTCTCCGATGGAGCCCAAACTCTTCTGGCTGAATCACCAGTACAAACAATCTAAAACAAAATCTGCTTTATTGACTAAAAGACTATTTCAATAGCATTTTGAGAAAACAACTACAAGTCCCAAAGAACACTCCAAAACCACAGAAAAGAATCATCTTAGAGTAAATTGTACATCATTTGTAAGTCCCCTCGCTCTGGATATTAGTTAACGCCACAAAATCTGAAGTATATCTAATATATTTTATTTTTAAGAATTCCTTAAGAACATCGTTTTAAATTGTGTACATAAATTTAGTTAACTTCTGACAGTTTTTTTTTTAATAAGAAAAAGTGACTTTTAATTTAGGCCACTGATTGGACATTTCTTGTTGAAATGGTCTCTGGGACTTGTAGTCACAACAGTTGTACCATTATTACACCCATGATGTCAACATCTGTCAAAGGTCCAGAGGCTCTGACCACTTCGCTGTGCTAAACAAACCCTCTGCCTTCATGAAGGAAATCACACCTGTGCTGCCCGCTCTGCTCCGGACTGACCTCAGGGGCTGGTGGTCATTTGCCAACATGGTGACATGAGAATAGAACAGATTTGTTTTTATTTTTCTTTTTTCAAACAAACTTTGCTGTAATTGGTTGCTTTTTTTGACCAGTAACTGCTGCTTTAAGTGTAACTGCTAAATGCTACGTCCAGCCTTGTCCTCTTTGTCCAGTGACTGCACAGTGACATCATCCTCTAAATAAAGAAGCTTTTGAAAGTTGCTGTCTGGGGTTTTTTTTTTTCCAAATGCTTACATCATCAAACTAACAGACTACTTTACCGTTAGTCCCCAGTGTTCCACAGCAGCAGAATAAAGGAGCAAATAAAATATGGCTGCTATACAGTCCTGATAGAGCGCCACCAGGTAAGTCTGCTTTGTGTTCACATGCACATTTGTCTGCTTTCTCCTGCGATCTGATCTCTTATACACCATGTAAAGTGTATATGAAACACCTAGTTATCAGGGAAGGGGATTAACAAAACCTGGGGCTGTAATTATCAAACAACACAAGTTTAAAAGTTTTTCTGACCTGACTATAAGTTAATTCACAAACCTTTTGGTACTTAAACAAGCTTGCCCGTCTGAGAAGTAAGATGAAGTCCACATGACCCCCGAATCATGTTGCTTGATCAGCAGGTATAGATAATGCACCTTGTGGGTTTAGATGTTAAAAGAATAAAGAAACAATGATGTTTAAAAAAGAAGTGGACACTGATCTCTGAGACTAAAACAGAGAAAAGTAAGATGAAGCCCACATGACCCCCGAATCATGTTGCTTGATCAGCAGGTATAGATAATGCACCTTGTGGGTTTAGATGTTAAAAGAATAAAGAAACAATGATGTTTAAAAAAGAAGTGGACACTGATCTCTGAGACTAAAACAGAGAATTCAGTGACCAGTCATGAAGAGAAGGCCTTTGATACTAATGAAGTGTAAGAGGCTCAACTGAATAATTAGCCACAGTTGCTCATTGTTTTCAAAGGAAGTTTATTAAAAAACACTTTTCACCACACCCACAGTGACTTAATTACATAGAATACATAATTAGGTAATGCCTTACTTGTATGCTGACTTGTGTACACATACCAAAATGTTATACACAGCAAATCGTGAACTCAACAGCATTCTGCTCATGTAGAACAACAGCATTCCTTACTTATGCCTTCCCCTAGAATATTTCCAATGACTGGGATTTTAAGATAGTAACACTAACTCTTTGTTGATGTGTTCACAGGTTTTATAAATATAGTTCCAGCTAAGTTATGTAACCAGCTTAAATAAGGAACATTTTCTATCACCTTCCAGGAGCCCGAATGGAAGTCCAGATGTGGTGCTGATGTTGAAAGCAGTGCCACAGAGCTGAGTTCTGGATGAGGTGATGGACATCTGAGGTGCAGGTGATCGCCGTGTCTCCTTGTACAAAAGGTCTTTGGTCTCGTTGATCTTAGCATTGAGATATGGTGACCCACCTACACACACAAACACATTTTATTAAGGTTGTGATCAATCCTCTCTCCTTTTTCAGTCCAAAACTTTATTTTCAGAATTGTATCACAGCTTGCTATGTTGTTTTTCCAAAACATAACAGAGATGTGTTATATTTCATGAGAATGGTTCAGAGGTTAAGCTTACCCTTATCTGGATGGTTCAAGTCTATGATTCTGCCATGGGCCTCACACCTTGGACTTAGTACTGGCTGGACATAAACCAAATAACACCTCTATATGATCAATAATAATGCACTTACTGCATGTTAAAAGATGAAACTTGAAGAAATATTTTCTACAACACAATCTGTTACCTGATTCCAAGAATGAGGCTGGCCTCTCGTCTGGACATCTGCTCAAAACCACCTTTGTAATATGATGAGAAAGCCTAAGGGGACAGAAGTATTAGAGCTTTGACCGTTAATAGTCTGAACCGAACTAGATCATATGGGCTACATTTTGTTTAACTTGTCATTTGTTCATCTACAATCACAACATGTGAAACAGGGTTTTCTCTGTGTATGTGACTCTGCACTATCTTTCTGGCCTAAAAAGACAAACCCTGAGCACAAAAGCTTGACAAAGATGAAGATGGGAGTTGCAGACAACAGATGAGTGCTTTGAGTAAGACCCCCAAGACCTTCAGTACACCAACACAAATAAGGTCAGCATGATGATTCTTTGACCTGTTTTATATTCTGAAGGTTTACATATTGTCAGAGGCTTCAAACAGGCCTTCGGCTCCAAATATCATATGTCGACCTGCAGACCTGCCTCAGCATGTAGAAAAGAGCAGCGGAGGTGGCTGCTGTCGCTTACGGCCATACCACCCTGAAAACGCCCGATCTCGTCCGATCTCGGAAGCTAAGCAGGGTCGGGCCTGGTTAGTACTTGGATGGGAGACCGCCTGGGAATACCAGGTGCTGTAAGCTTTTCTCTTCTCTACACAAACAGTTCATCCCAAATGATTCATCAGTAAATAAAAAGAAAAACGTTATTGGCCAATTAACTGATAATGAGAATTTTCTTAGCTGCGGCACTAGTCCTCACGACAGTTCCTTTTTCTCCTTGTTTGTATACACAGGTGGCTGTTTGGAGAAGTCACCTGTCAGCCCTATGCTATGTGTCGAGCATTGCTTGGTGTATGCAGCCTGAGCAACCGCACAGTCTTCTCCTTAGTCTGCTACCTTAAAGTCTGCCTCCCTATCTGTGGTGAGGGGATAATTACCTAAACTGATGAGGACGATATTACCATTCACAAAGCTGACCAGCATGAGGGAAGAACATGGCCACAATAACTGCAAAACATTTCTTTCTTTCTCCTGTTCAATCAAGTAGCAAGTTCTCCTTGCTACATGCCCGCCTCCTGGTGGTTGGAGTTTGGTATTGTGCATCCCTGTTTGCTGTAGGGTCCCTTGGCACAGTGGGGACAGAACAGTCCTGAACCTTATGGCACCGCCTGCTGCATTGACTGGCATGCACCCAACTACAAGCTTTCAGGTTTGTCTTAAATTGTCTGCCTGTTCATCTTTTGCTATGCACTGCCCTGCACCATCCTCCTCCTCTCCTACACTTTTATTATGCTGACAGTGCAGGGGTCCTGTCATGTCAACAGCGTGTCACCACAAACCAAGGCCAACAATGCAATGTGATAGCAATATATTACTGTGTAATCAGTTAGATTTTGTTTAGGTTTCATCTCACACAGGACAGGCGTTGCTGTTGTATGTATGCTGACACCCAGTGTAGAAGATGTTACAGTGGTACTCGACTCAAAGTGATGCAATATGCACCTGCTGGAGTTTTCTAAGGATGTTTTGTCCTTGTCACTTATGAAGCTTATGGATACAATACATTACTTTCTAAATGATATTAAATGTTTTAATGGATAATCTTACATGCACATTAGATTACGTTATAGATGCTCTTAGGTTTGCAGTAAGTATCAAGTAAAAGAAAAAACATAAACTAGATCAGTTATGCTAAAGCCATGTCTGATCCTGCCTGGTACAAAACAGTAACAATTAGTTTTCTTAGACTTCCCTAAACAGCAGTTTCTAAATTTAATTCTGCTGAAGAAAAGCATACAGTACATCTTTATAATATTAAAACTAATTCTTGTGCAGCCTTACTGACTGAAGAAATAAAAGCATTCAAAAATTATGGCACTCAGATTGATTTGAAACCCTTTCCAGTGTTCCCAGTGCTCTCCAGTTTGGGACATTGGAGAAAAAAAAGATTATCATTCATTCACCCTGTCCTTTACAAGAAGCTGTCATCTGGTTCATTGATTTGATATCAGGGTTGGCATCACAATGAGCTGAATGTCAATCATTTGAAGCAACAAATTATAATGAAGTACATTTACACAGCTGCTCTACAAAGACTGAATGGGATTTGTTTCTGACCCTGGAGAAAGAGTCCAGTCGGCTGCTTTATGGCAGGTGCGGGCAAGAGCCACACCACAGTGTAGGCCTCCATGGCCTCCATCCCCAGTTTGGACTTCATCTTAGCGTGGAATGAAGGCATGGATGACTGCACAGCTACCGAGAGAGAAAACAAGTCAGAGAAGGTTTTCCTTCACATGAAGGTGTCATTCAGGGGCTGCAGTTCCCACGTGAATACAAGAAGAAAGAGCAGAACAGTGAATGCACCACACATACTCTGCCAGCAGTATTACCACATGATGCAGCTCTGAGACATTCAAACTCTGCCCTGCTTTCTGACAGTCGCTGGTAGTTTTTTCAGCTCCAATAATTAGTTAGAAAATATTTTTAAAAGTGTATTTTGTTGGCATTTTATCAAAGTTTCTGCAGGATGCACAGAGTTTTTTTTTTTTTTTTTTTAATATCTATTTCATAATCATACTGTACGATTGAAAACCAGTAGGGACAATATGGAATTCTATTGTTATTTAACAGGTTTCAGTACTTCCCAGCACCATTTAACAACAGTTTCTAATGATCTAATTCATCAAATGAATGCCAAGGCCTGAATTTCATGACTCTGACCTGCAGGCACCTTGTTTACAGACTAGTTGAGACCCTGTTGTGGAGCCACTGCTAGTTAAGGACTAAACTGTAACACACTGTACAACCAAAATAGCCAAATATTATCACTATTAAACACACAGCTGGCTGACAAATGAAAGGAAAACTAGCATAAAATGAGAAACGTACTTTTTAGTGAAGCGTCTCCAGCCTCATCCCCTGTTGGGGGGGGGAGGAAACATCATTCATGAATAAAACATGATATTCTCCACTTACTTTGAATATTCCAGGAATCCTTTCACAAACCAAACCACATTCCTCTAAATCGACATTTACAAACATGCTTATCTTTCTCTACTAACGGTGTCAGACCAACGACTGTTTCATGAGAATGACTCTGTGGTTATGTAGCGACAGTTGAACGGGAAGTCACGTGTATGACTACCGGAAGTAAATATCAAACAACTTTCTAGCGCTGCTGGTGTTTTAAATATCAAAAGTTTAATTTAATGAGCGATTTAAACTGAATTTCAAGGACACAGAATATTATAAACTCCATCGACAACCTAGAAACGATTGTAGCGAGAACTGTAATGACTTAAGTAGATATTCTCAAACCTTTATATCAAGTTGTCAGGATGGCCGAGTGGTCTAAGGCGCCAGACTCAAGGTTGTCCCTTCCTGGAAACGGGGTTTCTGGTCTCCAATGGAGGCGTGGGTTCGAATCCCACTTCTGACAATACCTTTTGGCTTTAGTGAAAAGGATTACTAGCAGAGCAGGCTGTTCAGAAGCCCACAAAACGTATGGGTTCATATTTTTCTCTAAGTGGAAACAGTTGCAAGGACATTGATGCAACAGCGCCAGAAACATACTAGCCCCACTAGTCAGATCAAGTCAAGTGTTCATATGCACAGTGAGTACACGTGTTTCCCTGGACAATGAAACTCTTACTTTGCCGTCCACACGAATTCCACACAATATAAATGAAATATAAAGTAGATACGTAGGTAACATTTGGGGAGGCGATAGTGCGGTGGGTAGAGCAGTCGCCTCCCAGGTTGAAGGTTCAACTCTCAGTGCCTGCAGTCCACATGTTGAAGTGTCCTTGGGCAAGACACTGAATCCTCCCCCCCGCCGCATTGTTAGAGCTGCCATTGGTTGAGTTGGCGCGCAGATGGCTGACATCGGTTCTGTACCGGAAACAAATTCCTTGTGTGTAACATACTTGGCCAATAAAGGTGATTATCCTTACCCTAACCTGATTGTGTAAACAGTACAGGTAGAATTACATGAGGTAGTTCCTGAGTCAGCTGTTTAGAAGTCTGATGGCAGTGGGAAAGAAAGAGTTTCGGAA